ATTTTCAGTGTTTCCATAAGGAAATTGCCTTTTGTAACTACAAAAAAAAAAATTTGGAAAGTATTTTCCCTAGGAAAAAACTAAGGATGACTAACAGATAATCAAATTTACTCTAATCAAAATTTTGCTCTTATCTGGGGTACTTTAGACATGGAAAGGTACAATTGCTTTTATCCTCACCCGAGGATATGGTTATTGATTTGAGAGAGAGAAAAAAAAGAATGATGTGAGAAAAAAAAATTAATTGGTTGCCTCCCAGAAATCAAACCCTCAACCTAGGTATGTGCCCTGACCAGGAATGGAAACCACAACCTTTTTGGGTAATGGAAGATGCTCTAACCCGACTGAGCCAGCCTGCCAGGGCAACAAATACAATTTTGAAGAACAGCAGCAATCACATTTTAAGTTTAATAAAAGAACACAATTTCTATTATCTTTAAGACAGACATCCAAGAAACAAAGTCTTTATCCTTAGGAAGACATAAGCATCTAATAATCTACAAGCAAATCATATTTTTGTTGCTATTGGTTAAAAACAGCTCATTTACAAAGTGAGTTTAGGTTTATCCTCTAGAAATGTTTAATTCCAGACTGACGTTCCCAGACAAATTTTTATGCAAATTAATTAAAACATTAGCTTGAGCCAAACTTAATTACCAGGGCTCCAGGAAGCAATCATGTGATCTATTTCTAAAGAAAATTGAATGGATTTTTGGATTATCTTTTCTAATGGTCCCTCCCATTAGTATGGATGACTGAGTTCACGGTATAAAAAATATACATATAAACTGCTGCAGGATCCTTTAAGTTTTTTTGTATCTCAGCCAGGAGGGATTAGGGCAAAGGACAGGGGGTAGAATTCAACTAGACTGAATGTGCATAAAGCTTGCCTCATGAGGTCAAGAAAGCAAGATGGGATATGGAATATCTGAGTGCACTGGAGAGAAAGGCAGATGGGCTGGAGTCATCATTAACCGGCAGCAGGCCTGGGTACCGGGCAAGGAACCACACATACCTCTGTGTGATATGCCAAATCCTGGCTTGGTTCAGGAATAAGCAGATATGATTATTCTTAGATTTCAAAGCTATACACTTCATTTCTTTTTTTTTTTTTACTATCAGAAAAATTAGAAAGGAGAAAATATATGCATTTCCATTTCAAGCAAAGATTAGTAAAATTGGTAAACACAATAGTGGGACAAGAGAAAAAGGCAGAGGAGAGAAATACTACACAAAAGTCTTGCAATGCCCTCTCATCCACAAAGTGAAGTGACAGACATTGCTGGTCACAGAGAAAAGCCCTAGTTAGTATTCATCAATAGCCATAGGCTGCCTCCTGGGGCAGCCCCACCATTATCAGCAGTGCTCCTAGCCCTGATCTCCCTATTCCTGATCACATTCCTCTAAAAATGTCCAAGTGGAGCAATGGGACTGGATATGCACAAGAATACAGAGTGACTTGCTTCTCCTCTCTCTCTTCATTGTACAGATCACAAATAACGAGTTCAGTTCCCAGCAATGACTTTGAGAGTTCCCATTATTCCCAGTGAGAGAGAATGAGGCTCGGTCAATAAACAGTGAAGGTTCCCTCTCAATATCATCTTCCCAAATATAAATGTCAATGTGACTAGAAACTTTAGCAGGAGACATAGCCTCATATAAGCCAAATATAGAGAGAATATAAGATATTATCTAGTTTATTTGGCCTTAAAAATAATAATGAAAGTAAATCCCAAAGAGCATCCAGTTCTCCTTTCCTGGTTCTTTGCCATCAATATAGTATATGAAGAGCTTAGTAGCCTAAGGCACTTATTGCTAAAAGGTGTGTGGGAAGTAAGTTACAGTCCCTGATTACTATTTACAGATACTGATGGGTACTATAATAAAGGGAAAATTAAATAGTTATTTATTGATCACTCCTTACCAGTAGGTGTTGGGAAGGAAAATACGAATAAAACACAATCTCTGTCTTCACAATGTTTATAACCTGGTAAGAGAGACTAAAGCAGACAAAGCTATTACAGTGGGGCCTTGACTTACGAGTTTAATTCGTTCCGAGACCGAGCTCATTAAGAAGCTCGTTAACTCAAATTACTCTATCAACTCAATGCAAAAAATCAGCCTAGAGACAGCTGGTATCTCAAAAAACTCGTTAGTCGGGACACTCGTAAGTCAAGGCCCCACTGTATTACAGTGTACTAAGGAGAATAATAAATAGATGAATGAGCAAAGGAACTCAATAAGCAAAGATATGATCACTTTCTATAGTCCCCCAAGGCGAGAAGGGTGGAAATGGGTCTGGGGGAAAGATTTTTCCTGGTTCCTCCATATTAAAGAATTTTGTGATTATTATCATGACAGGAAAGAATAAAAAGCATAAGTGGAATTCTCATACATTTCAGGAGGGAGTGTAAAATGGGGCAAACTCTTTGGAACATTGTTTTTTAGTACCTCGTAAAGCTAAACATGTATGCTGCCTATTCCTTAGTAGTTTCATTGGTGAATTTATACCTAAGAGAGATGAGTACATATGAGCACATATGTCCACCAAAACACATGTACAAGAATTTTTAGCAGTATCATTCATAATAGCCTCATTTTGAAAATAATTTGACATTTTAACACCTATATACTGTTGAATAATCAGACAGTGGGATAGTCTACTTCAATGAAAAATAGTGAATGTATGAGTGCATGCAGCAACTGGGATTAACCTCAGAGAAAAGCTGTAAGAAAGTAAGATAAAATACAGCATATACTTTATGTTCTGTTTATATTAAATTCAAAAACAGAAGAATTACCTATGGGGGCAGGGAGGGTATCTGCAGGCACCAACAGAGGTAGCAGAGCTATTGGTGCTAGAAATGTTCTTGGTCTGGGTGGTGATTGGCAGGGAGATACATGGTTGTATATTTACAAGCCTGTCCTCTTAAGGCTTGAGTGTTTTACTATATGCAAGCTATACTGCAATTTAAAAAATTAAAAGACAAAATAAAAGCAAAAAAAAGAAAAAGGAGTTAGTTGTTAGATAAACCTAGTTAAGAATTCTGAAAGCAGAATAGGGATTATAATACTTTACAGGCCTGATACAATTAGAGAAAATGTGAATAAAATGGGTAGACAATGTATGGCATTTGTATGGAATCAATAATTTGCAAATATATTTTCTAGGCTAGTACTTCGCAAGATTTAATGTGCAAATGGAATACCTAGAAATGTTAAAATGCACACTCTGATTCTGCACGTCTGACATGAGGCCTGAAATCCTGTAATTTTGAAAAGCTCTCAGGAAGTTCTAATGTTTCTTGCCCATGGACCACACTTTGAGTAACAATAGGGAGAAATGGGGATGAATGGGGTTTATCAGCAGCGGAAAGGTCTTGATCAAATACATTTTTTAAAAGATATTAATGTTAGCACTTCATAAGATAGATTACACACACACACACACACACACACACACACACACACACGACCCAAGAGAGACATAATATATCCCTGAATAAAGAAAGGGGTTGGGGACTATATAAGGAAAAAAGCATTTTTCAGAATTGTCAAATCTTAGCATTCCATTGAATTTAGGAGTGATAACAGAAAGACATCCAAGTCAGCTTGAGGTTTTTAGCTTCAAAGATCAAATATATAAATATACTATAGCTGTAATTTTTTTTTATCAGATCCTTTTGAATAAAATGAGCTCCAGAGCAATGGATGTCAAAAAAACACACTTTTTTTTTTCAGAGTTGGTCAATCTGTCAGAGAATGAACCAAGGGGAAGCACTATGGCAGGCAGATTAAGTATAGTTGTGGTAAAGAGGAAACTATAAAGATGAGAGGTTAAGTCATCTGTGCTGTGGTAACAACCTCAAAAGTCCCAAAAGCTTACAACCACAAAGGTCTGCCACGTCACTGCTTGGTTCTGCTCCACAAGTTTTAGGCTGAAGGAACATACTCTTTCAGGAGAAAGAGAGAAATGGATCTCGAAACTTCTGCTGAAATGTAGTACCCAGCATGCTTGTTGCTGTCCCGTTTTCTTAAACCAAGTCACATGAATAGACCTGGCATCAATGAGGTGGGAACATACACTTGTCGCACAAGGGCCATGACAGGTCACATGGTCACAGACAGGGAAGTGGCGCCCTCTTACAGAAATCACTAGGGACAGGCTGGAGCAGTAACGCACTCTACCACAGGACCGTAAGCAGGCAAAGAGCCCAAGCTCCTCTGCATCCCCTTCGTGCCTGTAACCACCCCAGCTCTGGATTTTTTTTTTTTAATTCAACAGTGAAATAGCCTCAGCATTAAATATTTTATTATTAGGCAAAATGGAAAGATTTCCATTTTCTCTCTTAATGAGCACTTATGTTTTAATCTCTACTGGGAAGGGGAGGGGGAGAAGCCAGGGTGTGTGAAGAAAAGCATTATTACTTAATAGATCATCAGCCTCAGAGTAACTAAGAGTTGGCTGAATTCCCTCCTGACCTTGGCTGTATTTAGTAGGTGCCATTAGAGAATAGTGGAGCTGTGAGGTGACCCAATCTGTGTGTGCACATGTTACTCAAGTTTCTCATGCTCTGTTGATGGGAGAACGAACGTGCAAGGAGTGTTTTAATTTCCCAGGAATCCTCAATACAGGAACTATCTACATCTTAAAGGAAACTTAAATGTAATTAACTCGTGCAGCCCAGAAATTATTTAAAATTTCAAAACTTCCAGGTTGTGTCCATTGCTGTTAGTACATTCATAAGCCAAATAGTAATTACACCAGTCAGCTCAAAGAAGACTTTGTCTAAATTAGCTGGATATTTTTTATAAAATAATTGAGATAAATTTGATTTGCAAAATGGTATCTTTACCCTTCACTTTCTTTAAAACTGTTTTCTACCTATCCATGTATGATCAAAGCATGGTTTCTGAAATTTTTGCTTTTTCAAACCAGTGGTAAAACTATGGTTATGCATATCACATTTCTTTTATTTTCCAATCACTATTTTTAACAGGACAAGAGAACGATTCAGCGAATAATGAGATAAAAATTGAGGAAGAGTCACAGAGCTCATACATGGAAACAGAAGGTACTGAAACCAGGACATATTGTTACCAGAGAATGAGATGAAACTGTGAACCATGACCCTTATACAGACTTGTGTGCGAGTGGTGTGCATGTGTGTTTTTAGGCAATGATTTACGGAGAATGACAATAGTGTTCTGTTTTGTATGCCTATTAAAAATTGGAGGGCTCGGGGAGAATTGAATTAAACTTTCTATGCTTTAGTAACTGTGTTTTGTCAATGATTTCAACTAAAACATCCTTGAGTATCCTTCCTTCTCATTCTATTTAGAGCTTTCATCAAACCAAGAAGATACCACGATTGTGGAGCAACCAGAAGTGGTCCCACTGACAGATGTCCAAGAAGAAAAAGAAGGAGAAAAAGGTAGGCCTGCTCTTATATTAAACCATCAAAATAGAGAGTTTCTTTTGATTCCTGCCTAGAATTCACCATCAGAGTTATCCTTATGCAACTGCAGTCTGTTAAGGGCAGAGGGGCAGGGGGACGAACATTTCTTTAATTCTAAATCTACTTTTGTGAGTAGAATATTATCAAGTAGCAAGAGAAGATACTTGTAACAGTTTTTTGTCCTTTTAAATAGTATAAATGTTTTTTTTTTAAATTTAGATTCCATTTAATTTAAAGATTATGTTATTGAGAACGCCTATAAGATATCAAAATTATGAAGTAATGGATGAGTCTTAGAAAATTTTAAAAGGCTATAAAACAAATGTCACCTTTAGTATTGACTTTATTCCGCCATCCTTTATATGGTGGTGATTAAAGAAACAATTTATGTGAAATATGTACATTACATGAACCTTCTAAATTGCAAGCTTTGTCTGGTAATATTAGGATGCCATAATATAGAGTACTGTTAAAAATAATAGCATTATTATAATTTTTGAAGACATAAGAGGAATGAACACTGTAAATTTTAAAACAGTATTTGGGGCAAGAAGTCAATATATTGGAGTAAAGATAGCAATCTTTTTAAGAATCTATTTTAAAAAAACCATTATCAAAGAAATTCAATATTTACTGAAGAACTTGAAGAATTCCATTTTCATATATAAAGCAATCTCTTAAAAGAAACTAAAATATGAAATATGAAGTGAAATGATTTCTCTGGAACACTATATCATAAATCATGCTGCTCTTAAATAAATATGTGTTTGCAAAGCAGTTGCAAAGTAATAACTTGACAGGCCTTGTTTATAGAACACAGTGATCAATTTTGTTTCCAAATTAAAATGCAGACATGATCTCAATTGTAAAATCAGGTCGATAGTAGCTACAGCTTCCAAATTATGAACTCTTCTTGACAGAGGCATTGATACAGTATAATTAGTAAGCCATGTTAGTGATTATGACACCTCTTTTTTTAAAATTTTCAATATAGAACCCGATATTCTTCCATTTCTCTGCATCTAATAGCCTTTCTGTATTGCAAATTCTAGTTCAGGCTCATGTCACCATGTTCCTGGCAAGTCAAGTAAATGAGATATTTGGTGTATTTTATGTATGACGATGATAACAGGCATTTGATACAACCCTTACTTTAGCCACAGTTACCTGGCATTGCTCCCTTCAATTGTACTTCAAAAATGTAAAATGCCGAGTGGTGCTTGCCTGAATAGTTTCTCTATAGCAGAAATTATTTATTTTGTACCGTGTATGTCAAGACATACCAATGAGAAACATTAAGTGGTATACATATTCTTTTTATTAACTTGTCCTCCAGGGAAAAAAAAAACTCATGTTCAGCACACATGGACATGTCACCCTCCTCACAGCAACTTCTCTAGCATTGAGTACTCCTGTAACTACTGAGGAGTTGGTTAACTACCCACTGTTTACCCTCCCTTGTAATGCTACCAATCTCTTCTGCAAACAGGGAAATGACATGTGAGAAAGAAATGAGGTCAACTTCTGCTACTTGACTGTCAAAACTTTGAAGTTTAGTGTGTTTTGTTAAGATCTGACTTTTATCTGTAGGAGAGTAATAATGCCTGTGGTCATGAATTAACTACATTGACCCTTCCCTTCTTTACCACAAATACTTAGATTCATCTTGCCTTGAATATTTCTGTTTAAGTTTGAAATAACTTAAAATGCATTACCTTTATTGTTTTATTATTTGCTTCAAAGCAAACTTCAAAGCTATTCTGTTACATATAAAAAAAATAACCAAAGGAAAATGGGGCAACGTAGATTCAGGGTGCTCTGCTCTAGCTCTGCCCCTAATTAGCAAGCTGGGTGAACCTGGACAAGTTATTTAATCTTTCAATGCCTCAGTTTTCTTATCTGTAGGATGGTGATGACAAAAGTCACATCAGTTGTGGAGAAAGTTTGAGTTAGCACATGAAAAGCTTCGAGTACCTGGGGCATAGGAAGCATGCCATAAGCATTTAGAATTGATCATAATTTGATAAATTGGTGACAAAGTCAAGAGAATCCACATGTGGATTCCTCAAATACATTCATTGTCCTTCCTAACTATTTGCATCTATATAAACTTTACATATGCTATATTATCCTTCAACAAAAATTGTTCTGCACACTCCATTTTTAGCACCATCACCTGCAGCAAGTTTCAGTAGGCATGTTTTATTCTATAAAGGTAAAATAATAAATAAAAGGTGAGATGAAGGCATATCTCTTATTCATAAAGTCCTTTTTCTTTGTCAAGATCTCAATCTTCTGTTTGAGAAATGCTGAATCAACCATAATTTTAATTTTTTTGAGAATTGACAGACAACATTATAATAATTTTGTTACTGGTGGGGAGAAGTCCTTGTCCCCACCTTTGTTCATGGGAGTGGAATTCTTGCAATATCCCAAGAAAAATAATTTTCTGAGACATGCCCAGGAGAGTCAGTAATTTTTGTTTACATGGAATTAAATCCCTGAATTTCCAAGGTCCCCTCTCCCTCAGTTCCACCATAAAAGATATGTAACTGTGGCCTTAATAGTGCTAGAATTAGAGCCAGTGTCCAAAGTTTCTGTTCCATGCTGGGTTTGTGTGTCCTGTCGCAGCCCATCAGTCGGTTTCATGTGGGGTCTGCATGGCCATGAATAAAAGGAAGCAGGAATGAGTGAGTCTCGTGAGCGCAGAGCCAGGAGAGCAACGAGAGAGTGAACTGCTTTGTTTAGGGGATTATGTATTCCCAAATTTTCATGGGCTTGCAGTGGCCATGCCCATTCTGGTCAATTCATGGTTCCCCAGGCTAGACTGACAAGCCAATACCTTCCCTATGTCACCCCAGCTTTACTGAGCATGTGTCTATCTCCCCTTCGTAGGACCCCTTCCCTCAGTAGTCTGCATAGAATGGGTTAGTGGTTCCCTGGGGAGTGCAAAATTGCAGGTTCCTGCCCAAATGACATGAGTATAATATCTAACTTTCCATTTGTTCCTTTTCTATTATGAATAACTAGCTAATTACAAAGGTATCATTTCCCCTTTAAAGAGAACTAACCTCTTTGTAATCCTACAAAGGGCAAATGGACAAAGGTCTCTAGATGTTCTTCTTCAGTGGTTCTCAACCTTCTGGCCCTTTAAATATAGTTCCTCATGTTGTAACCCCAACCATAAAATTATTTTCGTTGCTACTTCATAACTGTAATTTTGCTATTGTTATGAATTGTAATGTAAATACCTGGTATGCAGGATGGTCTTAGGCGACCCCTGTGAAAGGGTCGTTCGACTGCCAAAGGGGTCGTGACCCACAGGTTGAGAACCGCTGTATGCTTCTTGCTCTCAAGGGGCATAGATCTGCCTATCCCGAGGCTTAGAGTTTCTCCCCTATCTGACAGAGGAAGAGCAAGCAAAAAGGAATGGAGTCTTCATGCAGGGAAGGGGATTTTTCACAGTTCAGGTCAGTCTAGTGTCCCTGGGAGGTGGCATAGGTGATGTCCAGAGGCTAGCTTGTTGGACAAACTAGCATCCTTGTTTTATTCTAGAAGTGAAAAACTTGACAATAAAGTTAAAAGGCATAATTTGAATATAAGGGGACTTATAGTAACTAAAGGTCTGATGAGAGGTATAAGCCCATGTAATAAAGGAAATAACTTGACAATGTTCTAGATTAGGTTGGAGGAGTGGCTTCCCTGGAGGGAAGTGGGTCGAACCTTTCTAAGCTCTTCTGTCCATCATACTTAAATAAGTTAAGGGAAATGTTATAAAATTTCCCCCATGAGAAACTCTGGGCCTCTTCTGTCGGAACCATTTGGTCAGAAAAGGAAAAGCAATTTCAAGCAATGCCAATAGACTATCCATACTTCATTGACTCAACCATAAGTCCAAACTGTTGAGTCTAATTTTAGGAGACAGTGATGCAGATGGCTTCTAAAGTCAGATTTATATTGTGTGAACAAGCAATTAGGCAAATAAGGACATACAGTCTATGAAAATAGAAGACTACAAAACACAGAGGTTAATGAATACAGCAAATCATAAACCAGTTGAGAAGACTTCCAGATGCAAGGCTTTTGCTGGAATGAAATCAAGGAGTGACAACCTGATAGATTTTCTGCAGTTAGAACATCTCTGGTGATGTCATCCGGTGATGAGTTCTGTATGGCATACATAGACAGAGCCTTAAAAACAAAACTTTGAAAACAGTTAACTGCACTGGAGTCCAATATTCTCAATTGGGTTTTCTGATTTCCCTTTGAAATACAGTTTTACTCCCTAAGATTACCCTCATTTCCATTAAAGAAACTGCATTAAGTCCAGTTTTAATTTGGCCCGATTATTTGCCCAAACACAACAAGAATAGTAACTGATCAAATAGATCACACAGGCCTTTTCAAATTTGCTTTGCTGGAATTTTCACAAGGCATCTTTAGATTGAGCTATATCAGACCCTCAGGGTAAAGAAGCCCAGCCACAGTTGCCATCAGGCTTTGCCTGTAATAACTGTAGGTTTGGATCAATTTCTCAAGTCCTTGAGGTCCCCAAAGATATCTTGAGTTTCCTTCCTTGCCATCTTTCAGGAAAGCAACTTTCATTCCTTTCCTGGAAAGACTGCATAAGCCACGTGACCACGCAAAGTATCAGGCCATTTCTCCAGTGGGCTTTGATTGGCTTTGGAAGTCAACATTAGTTCCATAAGGCTTTCTGGTGACATCTGGAGTCTAGGCATGAGTCTCTTAGACATGGCATTCAGGTCAAAGTCTTGGTTAAAAGAACACAGGTGAAGACTGGTCTTATTGGATTTATGCAAAAAAACATATCGCCATGACCCACGTATTAAGAATTGCCAAATTCTGGAGGGGTAAGTAGGGAGAAAAAGCAAAAAGTAAGCAATTATCATGTAATTATAACGTCCCAGATTGGCAAACACATTCTATAACTTTTAGAAACATAGGTTCATTTACTG